GAAGAACCAGTGGCATCTACATCTACAGAACGTGAAGAACCAGTGGCATCTACATCTGTAGACGTGAAGAACCAGTGGCATCTACATCTACAGAACGTGAAGAACCAGTGGCATCTACATCTACAGAACGTGAAGAACCAGTGGCATCTACATCTACAGAACGTGAAGAACCAGTGGCATCTACATCTACAGAACGTGAAGAACCAGTGGCATCTACATCTACAGAATGTGAAGAACCAGTGGCATCTACATCTACAGAACGTGAAGAACCAGTGGCATCTACATCTACAGAACGTGAAGAACCAGTGGCATCTACATCTACAGAACTTGAAGAACCAGTGGCATCTACATCTACAGAACGTGAAGAACCAGTGGCATCTACATCTACAGAACGTGAAGAACCAGTGGCATCTACATCTACAGAACGTGAAGAACCAGTGGCATCTACATCTACAGAACGTGAAGAACCAGTGGCATCTACATCTATAGAATGTGAAGAACCAGTGGCATCTACATCTACAGAACGTGAAGAACCAGTGGCATCTACATCTACAGAACGTGAAGAACCAGTGGCATCTACATCTACAGAACGTGAAGAACCAGTGGCATCTACATCTACAGAACGTGAAGAACCAGTGGCATCTACATCTACAGAACGTGAAGAACCAGTGGCATCTACATCTACAGAACGTGAAGAACCAGTGGCATCTACATCTACAGAACGTGAAAACCAGTGGCATCTACATCTACAGAACGTGAAGAACCAGTGGCATCTACATCTACAGAACGTGAAGAACCAGTGGCATCTACATCTACAGAACGTGAAGAACCAGTGGCATCTACATCTACAGAACGTGAAGAACCAGTGGCATCTACATCTACAGAACGTGAAGAACCAGTGGCATCTACATCTACAGAACGTGAAGAACCAGTGGCATCTACATCTACAGAACGTGAAGAACCAGTGGCATCTACATCTACAGAACGTGAAGAACCAGTGGCATCTACATCTACAGAACGTGAAGAACCAGTGGCATCTACATCTACAGAACGTGAAGAACCAGTGGCATCTACATCTACAGAACGTGAAGAACCAGTGGCATCTACATCTACAGAACGTGAAGAACCAGTGGCATCTACATCTACAGAACGTGAAGAACCAGTGGCATCTACATCTACAGAACGTGAAGAACCAGTGGCATCTACATCTACAGAACGTGAAGAACCAGTGGCATCTACATCTACAGAACGTGAAGAACCAGTGGCATCTACATCTACAGAACGTGAAGAACCAGTGGCATCTACATCTACAGAACGTGAAGAACCAGTGGCATCTACATCTACAGAACGTGAAGAACCAGTGGCATCTACATCTACAGAACGTGAAGAACCAGTGGCATCTACATCTACAGAACGTGAAGAACCAGTGGCATCTACATCTACAGAACGTGAAGAACCAGTGGCATCTACATCTACAGAACGTGAAGAACCAGTGGCATCTCCATCTACAGAACGTGAAGAACCAGTGGCATCTACATCTACAGAACGTGAAGAACCAGTGGCATCTACATCTACAGAACGTGAAGAACCAGTGGCATCTACATCTACAGAACGTGAAGAACCAGTGGCATCTACATCTGTAGACGTGAAGAACCAGTGGCATCTACATCTACAGAACGTGAAGAACCAGTGGCATCTACATCTACAGAACGTGAAGAACCAGTGGCATCTACATCTACAGAACGTGAAGAACCAGTGGCATCTACATCTACAGCATGTGAAGAACCAGTGGCATCTACATCCACAGAACGTGAAGAACCAGTGGCATCTACATCTACAGAACGTGAAGAACCAGTGGCATCTACATCTATAGAATGTGAAGAACCAGTGGCATCTACAACTACAGAATGTGAAGAACCAGTGGCATCTACATCTACAGAACGTAAAGAACCAGTGGCATCTACATCTACAGAGCGTGAAGAACCAGTGGCATCTACATCTACAGAACATGAATAACCAGTGACATCTACATCTACAGAACGTGAAGAACCAGTGGCATCTACATCTGCAGAACGTTTTAAACCAGTGGCATCTACATCTACAGAACGTGAAGAACCAGTGGCATCTACATCTACAGAACATGAAGTACCAGTGGCATCTACATCTACAGAACGTGAAGAACCAGTGGCATCTACATCTACAGAACGTGAAGAACCAGTGGCATCTACATCTACAGAACGTGAAGAACCAGTGGCATCTACATCTGCAGAACGTGAAGAACCAGTGGCATCTACATCTACAGAACGTGAAGAACCAGTGGCATCTACATCTACAGAACGTGAAGAACCAGTGGCATCTACATCTACAGAACGTGAAGAACCAGTGGCATCTACATCTACAGAACGTGAAGAACCAGTGGCATCTACAGAACGTGAATAACCAGTGACATCTACATCTACAGAACGTGAGGAACCAGTGGCATCTACATCTGCAGAACGTTTTAAACCAGTGGCATCTACATCTACAGAACGTGAAGAACCAGTGGCATCTACATCTACAGAACGTGAAGAACCAGTGGCATCTACATCTACAGAACATGAAGTACCAGTGGCATCTACATATACAGAACGTGAAGAACCAGTGGCATCTACATCTACAGAACGTGAAGAACCAGTGGCATCTAACATCTACAGAACGTGAAGAACCAGTGGCATCTACATCTACAGAACGTGAAGAACCAGTGGCATCTACATCTACAGAACGTGAAGAACCAGTGACATCTACATCTGTAGATGTGAAGAACCAGTGGCATCTACATCTAGAGAACGTGAAGAACCAGTGGCATCTACATTTACAGAACGTGAAGAACCAGTGGCATCTACATCTACAGAACGTGAAGAACCAATGGCATCTACATCTACAGAACGTGAAGAACCAGTGGCATCTACATCTACAGAAGGTGAAGAACCAGTGGCATCTACATCTACAGAACGTGAAGAACCAGTGGCATCTACATCTACAGAACGTGAAGAACCAGTGGCATCTCCATCTACAGAACGTGAAGAACCAGTGGCATCTCCATCTACAGAACGTGAAGAACCAGTGGCATCTCCATCTACAGAACGTGAAGAACCAGTGGCATCTAAATCTACAGAACGTGAAGAACCAGTGGCATCTACATCTACAGAACGTGAAGAACCAGTGGCATCTACATCTACAGAACGTGAAGAACCAGTGGCATCTACATCTGTAGACGTGAAGAACCAGTGGCATCTACATCTACAGAACGTGAAGAACCAGTGGCATCTACATCTACAGAACGTGAGGAACCAGTGGCATCTACATCTACAGAACGTGAAGAACCAGTGGCATCTACATCTACAGAACGTGAAGAACCAGTGGCATCTACATCTACAGCATGTGAAGAACCAGTGGCATCTACATCTACAGAATGTGAAGAACCAGTGGCATCTACATCTACAGAACGTGAAGAACCAGTGGCATCTACATCTATAGAATGTGAAGAACCAGTGGCATCTACATCTACAGAACGTGAAGAACCAGTGGCATCTACATCTACAGAACGTGAAGAACCAGTGGCATCTACATCCACAGAACGTGAAGAACCAGTGGCATCTACATCTACAGAACGTGAAGAACCAGTGGCATCTACATCTATAGAATGTGAAGAACCAGTGGCATCTACATCTACAGAATGTGAAGAACCAGTGGCATCTACATCTACAGAACGTAAAGAACCAGTGGCATCTACATCTACAGAACGTGAAGAACCAGTGGCATCTACATCTACAGAGCGTGAAGAACCAGTGGCATCTACTTCTACAGAACATGAATAACCAGTGACATCTACATCTACAGAACGTGAAGAACCAGTGGCATCTACATCTGCAGAACGTTTTAAACCAGTGGCATCTACATCTACAGAACGTGAAGAACCAGTGGCATCTACATCTACAGAACATGAAGTACCAGTGGCATCTACATCTACAGAACGTGAAGAACCAGTGACATCTACATCTACAGAACGTGAAGAACCAGTGGCATCTACATCTACAGAACGTGAAGAACCAGTGGCATCTACATCTACAGAACGTGAAGAACCAGTGGCATCTACATCTATAGACGTGAAGAACCAGTGACATCTACATCTACAGAACGTGAGGAACCAGTGGCATCTACATCTGCAGAACGTTTTAAACCAGTGGCATCTACATCTACAGAACGTGAAGAACCAGTGGCATCTACATCTACAGAACGTGAAGAACCAGTGGCATCTACATCTACAGAACATGAAGTACCAGTGGCATCTACAGCTACAGAACGTGAAGAACCAGTGGCATCTACATCTAAAGAACGTGAAGAACCAGTGGCATCTACATCTACAGAACATGAAAAACCAGTGGCATCTACATCTACAGAACGTGAAGAACCAGTGGCATCTACATCTACAGAACGTGAAGAACCAGTGGCATCTACATCTACAGAACGTGAAGAACCAGTGGCATCTACATCTACAGAACGTGAAGAACCAGTGGCATCTACATCTACAGAACGTGAAGAACCAGTGGCATCTACATCTACAGAACGTGAAGAACCAGTGGCATCTACATCTACAGAACGTGAAGAACCAGTGGCATCTACATCTACAGAACGTGAAGAACCAGTGGCATCTCCATCTACAGAACGTGAAGAACCAGTGGCATCTCCATCTACAGAACGTGAAGAACCAGTGGCATCTACATCTACAGAACGTGAAGAACCAGTGGCATCTACATCTACAGAACGTGAAGAACCAGTGGCATCTCCATCTACAGAACATGAAGAACCAGTGGCATCTCCATCTACAGAACGTGAAGAACCAGTGGCATCTACATCTAGAGAACGTGAAGAACCAGTGGCATCTACATCTACAGAACGTGAAGAACCAGTGGCATCTACATCTAGAGAACGTGAAGAACCAGTGGCATCTACATCTACAGAACGTGAAGAACCAGTGGCATCTACATCTACAGAACGTGAAGAACCAGTGGCATCTACGTCTACAGAACGTGAAGTAGTGGGGGGAGTCTGTTAACGGCAACAGAGAGAGATGAGAATTTCGGCGCCCCAGACCTCACCGTTTGGCCTTGGGGAGGCCCATGGGAGTGAGGGAAGTCCCGGAGCGGACCGGCGTCTTGCGGATCCGGATCTGGGACACGCGCTGGCTGCGTGGAAGAGCCGGAGCGGGAGCGGCCTCCGGGACGGCCTCGCCGTCCCCGTTTTCACGCACGGCCTGCGAGCACAAAGACAAAGGTTAACCCCTTCCCTGTGTAGCCTCTAGCAGAGCTGTAGGGGCAAGTGCTGTTAGTAGTAGTGAGTAGCACCACCTATGATGCACACACAGACAAAGCTCCCCCAGGTAGCCTCTAGCAGGGCTTTAGGGGCAAGTGCTGCTAGTAGCGAGGAGCACCACCTATGATGTACACAAAGACAAAGCTCCCCCAGGTAGCCTCTAGCAGGGCTGTAGGGGCAAGTGCTGCTAGTAGCGAGTAGCACCACCTATGATGTACACACGCAGACAAAGCTCCCCCAGGTAGCCTCTAGCAGAGCAGTAGGGGCAAGTGCTGCAAGTAGCGAGTAGCACCACCTATGATGCACACAAAGACAAAGCTCCCCCAGGTAGCCTCTAGCAGGGCTGTAGGGACAAGTGCTGCTAGTAGCGAGTAGCCAATATCAAACCAACCAGCATTCGCCACTAAGTGGCGGTGACGTCACCACGACGCTTGTGTCAGGCCATGTGCACCTTGAGGCCACGCGAAGTGTCGAACGCCCGCGGGCAGGAGGTCACGGGGCAGACCCAAGTGCCACAGGTCGACTGACTAAGATGACTGAGATGACTGGCTGATGCACCACCTGTGCCCCCTACTGTGCCAACCTGCTGTGCTTTAGCCACCCGGCGCTCCGCTCGTTGTTGTGAGCGTCGCTCCTCCGCCCTCCGTTGTTGTTGGAGGGCGACTGCCTCCAACTGCCCAGTAGCAGCGTTCTTCACGAGCCTCCTCCACAGAGGCCGATCTTGACACCGCTGGTACCAGTCATCGGCAAGTCCACTCAGCTCCACGTCCTCCTGTACCACATCACTCCATCTCTTCTCTAGCCTGTGCCGCGCCCGTTTAGCCCCCTTGATCCGTCCGAACAAAAGCTGTTTCGGCATGTGGTGGCTGGACATGCGGGCTACATGACCCAGCCAACGCAGCCTTGCCTGCCGGAGGAGCTCACCGATGGGACCTTGCCCAGATTTTTCAAAGATTTGTGAGCTCCTCACACAATCCAGCCTGTTTAAACCAAGGATGGATCGTAGGCAGGCCAGCCTAAATGTTTCTAACCGGCGAAGATGTTCCATTAGGGGGGTCCACGTTTCGCAAGCGTAGAGAAGGGAGGGAATGACCGTGGCCGAGAAGACCTGAAGCTTAGTGCGGAGCGACAGACCAGGTAGCTTCCACACAGCGTTACGCAACCGATGAAAATATATTGCCGCTTGACTGATTCGGAGTGAGACCTCTGCTGTTAAACTGCAGCTGGTCATAAGCACACTTCCCAGGTATGGGACACTCTCTACTCTCTCCACAACTGCCCCATCACCGATTGGGAGTCTTGGGGGTGGAGTGTCCGATGGTACAAAATACCTAGGCAGGTGCTTAGTTTTGGTGGGGCTGATGTTAAGGCCCCATCTCTTAGTGGCACGCTCCAGTCTCAGCAGCAGCATCTCCAACTCCTCCTCTGAATGAGCAGCTATTACCAAATCATCGGCATACATAACGTGGTTGAGCAATAGGGAGCCATCCCTTGACCGCACCAGGGCATCGATCAGCCTCCCATTATATCTGTACCATATGGAGATTCCCCCAGTACAGCTATCGAAGGCTTCACGAACTACGTGGTCAAAATAGATGTTAAATAATGTGGGAGCCAGAGGACATCCCTGTCGCACCCCAAGGTGTACAGGGAATGGCTCTGACTCCCGGCCACTTACTTTTACCCAGGCCCGCTCACCATCATGAAGGTCCTTAATGATCGTGAGCAGAGGGGCAGGTACTCCAAAAGCACGAAGAACAACCCTCAGCCCAGGCCTACTGATGGTATCATAGGCCTTGACCAGGTCAATAAAGCAGAGATGTAGGTCTTGCTGGAATTCCCTACACCTTTGCTGTAGCAGACAGACATAAAATATGGCATCTGTGCAGGACCGCCCTTTCCTGAAACCGCATTGGGGCTCCGCAAGCCTCTCCTCAGCGTGCCTGGCAAGGCGATGTTGAATAATCCTTGCCAGGACCTTTCCCGGCACACTGAGGAGTGAGAGATGCCCCTGTAGTTGTTACAGTCTGTGCGGTCCCCCTTCTTAAAGAGGGGGACCACCAGGGCATCCTTCCAATCCTGCGGAACCCGTCCAGTGGTCCAGACTGTTATGTCATATAGGGCAGTCTGTGCACAAACGCCACCCTCCCTCAGCATTTCGCTTGGGAGATCATCTCTGCCCGGTGCCTTTCCTGGTCTCAGACTCCGGATCACCTTCAGTACTTCCTCAACAGATGGCACCTCAGCCAGCCACTCACAGGGGGTGACTTCTTCCAATATTTGAGGCACCACAGCCTCAGCAGGGTCACACACACACAGTCACACAGAGTCACACTCACACAGTCACACACAGTCACACACAGTCACAAAAACAAAGATCCCCCATATAGCCTTAACAGACTGTAGGGGCAAGTGCTTAGTGAGCACCTATGAAGGCCGGAACGGTATACGAGGGGGTGGGTGGCCAGCACCACGCCCGACCGCCTTTGTCTCCCTAGTGGCAATGTTTACACACCGCACCAGGTACTCATTTGAGGCTGAGTCGACCTAGGGGAGGCCCGGGACCGGTTCAGATAATCGTCACTGGTGTTGGCCGTGAGCGGGAATCGAACCCGGGTCGCCAGGTTCATAGCGCAGCGTAGCGCTAACCGCTACACTATCGCTCCCCACACAGTCACACACAGTCACACACACACACAGTCACACACAGTCACACACACACACAACAAAGACAAAGATCCCCCATATAGCCTTAACAGACTGTAGGGGCAAGTGCTGTTAGCGAGCACCTATGAAGGCCGGAACGGTACACGAGGGGGTGGGTGGCCAGCACCACGCCCGACCGCCTTTGTCTCCCTAGTGGCAATGTTTACACACCGCACCAGGTACTCATTTGAGGCTGAGTCGACCTAGGGGAGGCCCGGGACCGGTTCAGATAATCGTCACTGGTGTTGGCCGTGAGCGGGAATCGAACCCGGGTCGCCAGGTTCATAGCGCAGCGCCACACAGTCACACACACACACAGTCACACACAGTCACACACACACACAGTCACACACACACACAGTCACACACACATACAGTCACACACACATACAGTCACACACACACACACAGTCACACACACACACAGTCACACACACACACAGTCACACACAGTCACACACACAGTCACACACAGTCACACACAGTCACACTCACAGGCAGTTGCGTCTCGTCCAGCGGATCCACTGCGGACACCGCTGAGGTGGCCAACGCGGGCATCTCCGGAAGGACACCCCGGCCAGCGTCCACCACCTCCACCATCTCAGCGTCCACCACCTCCACCGTCTCAGCGTCCACCACCTCCACCGTCTCAGCGTCCACCACCTCCACCGTCTCAGCGTCCACCACCTCCACCGTCTCAGCGTCCACCACCTCCACCGTCTCAGCGTCCACCACCTCCACCGTCTCAGCGTCCACCACCTCCACCGTCTCAGCGTCCACCACCTCCACCGTCTCAGCGTCCACCACCTCCACCGTCTCGGCGTCCACCGCCGCTGCCCCAGCGCTCAGCCGACCGTCGTCCACTCCGACCTCCACGACCTCTGTCCTCATCTCTTCCTCCCCGCCGCCACCATCATCATCGTCGTCGTCGCCACCACCACCACCACCACCATCACCATCACCGCGGTGGTCGTGGTGGTCGTGGTGGTCGTGGTGGTCGTGGTGGTCGTGGTGGTCGTGGTGGTCGTGGTGGTCGTGAATCTTCAACGGTGGCATGGGCAGGTCGGGGAAGAAGCACTCCAGGAATGGAGATTTGGTCGGCGGCGAGGGCACTGAACCCCGCGGCGTGCGAGGAGACAGCATCAGGAAGCAGCCGCCGGCGCCGGGTGGCAGGGTGCCGGAGGCGGCGCCGGCGGCGGTCGCGAGTGTCCGAAGTCTCCACCCAAAGCTGGCACGGCGGCGGTGGCGGCGGCGGCCGTCGCCGCCGTCGTCGGCGCGACCGCCGGAGCCGGGGCCGGGGCCGGGGCTGGAGCCGGAGCCGGAGCCGGGGCCGGAGCCGGGGCTGGAGCCGGGGCTGGAGCCGGAGCCGGAGCCGGGGCCGGAGACGGAGCCGGAGCCGGAGCCGGGGCCGGGGCTGGAGCTGGAGCCGGGGCCGGAGCCGGAGCCGGGGCTGGAGCCGGAGCCGGAGCCGGAGCCGGGGCCGGAGCCGGAGCCGGAGCCGGAGCCGGAGCCGGGGCCGGAGCCAGAGCCGGGGCCGGAGCCGGAGCCGGGGCCGGAGCCGGAGCCGGGGCCGGAGCCGTGCCGATTGTCGCCGGCCCCCCGGCGGCCGTCCGGCGGGGGGCCGGAGGGCGAGGACAGAACGCCGAGGAAGTGGCAGAGTCTGGCGGCGAGGGAGCACGCCGGCGACAGGCTCAGCCGCTGCGCCAACGCCGCAACGGTGGCGCTGCTGGCGATGGTGGCGGTGCCGTGTGGTGGCGTGGTGGCGATGGTGGTGGTGGCGGCAGTGGCGGTGCTGTGTGGTGGCGTGGTGGTGGTGGTGGTGCCGTGTGGTGGCGTGGTGGTGGTGGCGGTGGTGCCGTGTGGTGGCGTGGTGGTGGTGGCAGTGGTGGTGGAGGTGGTGGTGGCAGTGGTGGCGGTGGATCCTGGAGGAGACGGAGGTTGGGCCACGCCGGAGGTCGAGGTGGACGGGAGATCAACGTTGGGTGGAGCGGTGACGGCCATCTGGAAGAAGTCTCTTGCTGGGGGGGGAGACACGGGGGAGGGGGGGAGACACGGGGGGGGGGGGGAGACACGGGGGGGGGGGGGGGAGACACGGGGGGAGGGAGACACGGGGGGAGGGAGAGACACGGGGGGGGAGAGACACGGGGGGGGGGGGGGAGACACGGGGGAGGGGGGGAGACACGGGGGGGAGACACGGTGTTCACCACCATCACCACCGTCACCACGGTCACAGCAGCTCACCACCACTACCACCACCACTACCACCATCACCACCGTCACCGTCACCACCACCACCACCACCACCGTCACCACGGTTACAGCAGCTCACCGCCGCGCGTTCCGTAGCGGCGACCCCTCAGCTCCAGCGGCACCGCCTCCTCCGCCGCTCCGTCTCCCCGGGGGACGCTCCCCCGTCCCTCCGCTCCTCCAGCTCCTCCAGCTCCACCAGCTCCACCCACTCCACCCACTCCACCAGCTCCTACAGCTCCACCAGCTCCACCAGCCCCACCAGCTCCTACAGCTCCACCAGCTCCACCAGCTCCACCAGCTCTTACAGCTCCACCAGCTCCTACAGCTCCACCAGCTCTTACAGCTCCACCAGCTCCACCCACTCCACCCACTCCACCAGCTCCACCAGCTCCACGCGCTCCTCCAGCTCTTACAGTCCCACCAGCTCCTACAGCTCCACCAGCTCTTACAGCTCCACCAGCTCCACCAGCTCCACCCACTCCACCCACTCCACCAGCTCCACGCGCTCCTCCAGCTCTTACAGCCCCACCCACTCCACCCACTCCACCCACTCCTCCAGCTCCACCCTCCACCGCTCCGTCTCCCCGGGGGACGCTCCCCCGTCCCTCCGCTTCTTCGACCGCCCCAATAACGACTGCGGTGGTGGTGGCGGCGGTGGTGCAGGTGGTGGTGGCAGTGGTGCAGGTGGTGCAGGTGGTGGCGGCGGTGGTGCAGGTGGTGGTGGCAGTGGTGCAGGTGGTGGCGGTGGTGGCGGCGGTGGTGGCGGTGGTGGTGGTGCAGGTGGTGGTGGTGAGGACCGCGCCCTCGCGACCTCCCCCACGCCGCCGGCTCGCCCCGGTGTTATCCGGCGGCGGCAAAGGGCGGTGGTGGCTGTGGTGGTTGTGGTGGCTGTGGTGGTTGTGGTGGCTGTGGTGGTTGTGGTGGCTGTGGTGGGTCGGCGGTGGAGCCGGGCCCACCGCCACCGCCGGGACTGTGGCACACCGCCTAGGGCACTGGCGGCGTGGCCGGGCGGTGGCGGCGGTGGCGGTGGTGGCGGTGATGGCGGTGGTGGCGGTGGGCAGGAAGCGCCGAATCCTCCGGGAGGGCTCATCCATGCCGGTTGTTGCCGCAGCCGTTAACATCCGGCAGTGCAGATAGCGCGGTGATGACACTGAGACACAGAGACAACAACAACAACAACCGCCACTCGCCACTAAGTGGTGGTGACGTCACCACGACGCTTGTGCCAGGCTATGTGCACCTTGAGGCCACGTGAAGTGTCGAACGCCCGCTGGCAGGAGGTCACGGGGCAGACCCAGGTGCCACGGGTCGACTGACTGAGATGACTGGCTGATGCACAACCTGTGCCCCCTACTGTGCCAACCTGCTGTGCTTTAGCCACCCGGCGCTCCGCTCGTTGTTGTGAGCGTCGCTCCTCCGCCCTCCGTTGTTGTTGGAGGGCGACTGCCTCCAACTGCCCAGTAGCATCCTTCACGAGCCTCCTCCACAGAGGCCGATCTTGACACCGCTGGTAACAGTCATCGGCAAGTCCACTCAGCTCCACGTCCTCCTGTACCACATCACTCCATCTCTTCTCTAGCCCGTGCCGCGCCCATTTAGCCCCCTCGATCCGGCCGAACAAAAGCTATTTGGGCATGCGGTGGCTGGGCATGCGGGCTACATGACCCAGCCATCGCAGCCTTGCCCGCCAGAGGAGCTCACCGATGGAAATTTTTCCAGATCTTTCAAGGATTTGTGAGCTCCTCACACAATCCAGCCTGGTTAAACCCAGGATGGATCGTAGGCAGGCCAGCCTAAATGTTTCTAACCGGCGAAGATGTTCCATTAGGGGGTTCCACGTTTCGCAAGCGTAGAGAAGGGAGGGAATGACCGTGGCCGAGAAGACCTGAAGCTTAGTGCGGAGTGATAGACCAGGTAGCGTCCAGACAGCGATACGCAACCGATGAAAGGATATTGCCGCTCGACTGATTCGGAGTGAGACCTCTGCTGTTAAACTGGAGCCGGTCATAAGCACACTGCCCAGGTATGGGAAACTCTCCACTCTCTCCACAACTGCCCCATCACCGATTGGGAGTTGTGGGGGTGGAGTGTCCGATGGTACAAAATACCCAGGCAGGTGCTTAGTTTTGGTGGGGCTGATGGTAAGGCCCCACCTCTTAGTGGCACGCTCCAGTCTCAGCAGCAGCGTCTCCAACTCCTCCTCTGACTGAGCAGCTATTACCAAATCATCAGCATACATAACGTGGTTGAGCAATAGGGAGCCATCCCTTGACCGCACCCGGGCATCGATCAGCCTCCCATTGTATTTGTACCATATGGAGATTCCCCCGGAACACCATCACCAACCCCAATATCATCACCACCATCATCACCATCAACCCCAACAACATCATCACCATCACCACCATCATCACCATCATCATCACCATCACCACCATCAACCCCAACACCACCATCACCACCACCATCACCACCACCATCATCACCACCATCACCACCATCGTCACCACCACCATCACCATCATCACCATCACCACCATCACCACCATCACCACCTAGCAGTGGATAGACCACGGCTCCTGTAGCAGTGCACCACCTCCACCACCTCCACCTGCGCCACCCTGCAAGTCACCCACCTGCTCCACCTGCTCCACCTGCTCCACCCTGCTAGTCACCCACCTGCTCCACCTGCTCCACCCTGTGAGTCACCCACCTGCTCCACCTGCTCCACCCTGTGAGTCACCCACCTGCTCCACCTGCTCCACCCTGTGAGTCACCCACCTGCTCCACCTGCTCCACCCTGTGAGTCACCCACCTGCTCCACCCTGTGAGTCACCCACCTGCTCCACCTGCTCCACCCTGTGAGTCACCCACCTGCTCCACCCTACAAGTCACCCACCTGCTCCACCTGCTCCACCCTGTGAGTCACCCACCTGCTCCACCTGCTCCACCCTGTGAGTCACCCACCTGCTCCACCTGCTCCACCCTGTGAGTCACCCACCTGCTCCACCTGCTAGTCACTCACCTGCTCCACCCTGTGAGTCACCCACCTACTCCACCCTGCAAGTCACCCACCTGCTCCACCTACTCCACCTGCTCCACCTGCTCCACCTACTCCACCCTGCTAGTCACCCACCTGCTCCACCTGCTCCACCCTACAAGTCACCCACCTGCTCCACCTGCTCCACCCTGCAAGTCACCCACCTGCTCCACCTACTCCACCTGCTCCACCTGCTCCACCCTGCTAGTCACCCACCTGCTCCACCCTGCTAGTCACCCACCTGCTCCACCCTGTGAGTCACCCACCTGCTCCACCTGCTCCACCCTGATAGTCACCCACCTGCTCCACCCTGTGAGTCACCCACCTGCTCCACCCTGTGAGTCACCCACCTGCTCCACCCTGCTAGTCACCCACCTGCTCCACCCTGTGAGTCACCCACCTGCTCCACCTGCTCCACCCTGTGAGTCACCCACCTGCTCCATCTGCTCCACCCTGTGAGTCACCCACCTGCTCCACCCTGCTAGTCACCCACCTGCTCCACCCTGTGAGTCACCCACCTGCTCCACCCTGCTAGTCACCCACCTGCTCCACCCTGTGAGTCACCCACCTGCTCCACCTGCTCCACCCTGCTAGTCACCCACCTGCTCCACCCTGCTAGTCACCCACCTGCTCCACCTGCTCCACCTCGCCTCGTCCAGCCCAGCGCGAGGTCGCCACGCGCAGCAGCGGTGACTCGCCAAGTGCCACCACAACAACAACAACCACAACAACCACCACAACTACAATACTGTAATGATTACACTAACACTAGTCGTAATGATTACAGTGATTATAATAACAGTAGTAATGATAACAAACTAAATGTAAAACTTCTAAATCTGCTCCAGCCCCGTGACAGATTTTGTCGATCCGCTCCCGGCAGCGAGAATTTAAACTGGGAGGAGGGGGGGGGAGGCGGACGTGACGTCACATCACGAGGCCACTCGGCGGCCATGTTGGGTAGGGGGGGCGGGCCGGGCATGTTGGATAGGGAACGGCCATGTTGGGTGGAGGGAGGCGGGGCCGACGGCCGCAATGTTGGGTGAGGCGACGGCCATATGGGAGAAAGGGGGGGGGACGTCGGCCATGTTTGGTGAGGGGCGGCGGCCATGTTGAATGGGGGTGGCGGCTATGTTGGGAAGTGGGCGGCCATGTTGGATATGGGCGGCGACGGCGGACATATTGGATGACGCGACAGCCATATTGGGTAGGGGGGGCCCACAGCTGCCATTTTGGGTGGGGGGGGCGGTTGTCATGTTGGATGGGGCAGCAGCAGCTACCCCCATTGGTTGAATAGTAGGGGGCGGAGGTTGTGTTCCCTAAGTAAGATGGCTGCCCAAGCTTGTTGATTTCCCTACGTAAGATGGCCGTCCCACCAGTAGAGTCAGAATCTGCTTAGAGCAGTGTTGGTGAACAGGCGCGGGTGTTGATGGGCAGGGAACCGATTTAAAGCTTTCGTGACTGCAAGGATTAATCTTCTTTGGTTCTTTCGGTAAAGTCACCACGTAGAATGAGAATAAAATAATCAATTGATAAAATTAAATAACGCAATAATATTTCTTTCGGTAAAGTCACGTAGAATGAGAATAAAATAATAAATTAATATTGTAATATTAATAAAGTGACGTAGAATGAGAATAAAATAATAAATTGATAAAATAAAATAACACAATAATATTATAATATTAATAAAATAATAAATTGATAAAATAAAATAACACAATAATATTATAATATTAATAAAATAATAAATTGATAAAATAAAATAACACAATAATATTATAATATTATTGTGTTATTTTATCATTTTATTATTTTATTCTCATTCTACGTTGTGACTTTACCGAAAGAACCAAAGAAGATAGGGAACCGATTTCCACATTCAGTGTCTCATCATCAGCATCATTGCCCCAGGGCTGAACTAGGCCCAGGTGTTCTTAGCTAAGGTATCCGTTTACATTGTAATTGTCTGTAATGTTTCGCATTGTACCATTTCGTATTCTGTGTGTGGTGATTATTTTTTCCCTAACTTCTTGCCAGGTTCCAACCTCGCAAAAGACGTTTTTAACCTCAACGGGGGTTTCTGGTGGAGTAAAGGGTAAATAAAGGTCAATAAAGGTGAAATAAGGGTGACATAAAGATTAAATGAAGGTGAAATAAAGATTAAATAAAGGTGAAATAAAGATTAAATGAAGGTGAAATAAAGATGAAATAAAAGTGAAATAAAGATTAAATGAAGGTGAAATAAAGATTAAATGAAGGTGAAATAAAGATTAAATAAAGGTGAAATAAAGATTAAATGAAGGTGAAATAAAGATTAAATAAAGGTGAAATAAAGATTAAATGAAGGTGAAATAAAGGTTAAATTAAAGGTGAAATAAAGATTAAATAAAGGTGAAATAAAGATGAAATAAAAGTGAAATAAAGATTAAATGAAGGTGAATTAAAGATTAAATGAAGGTGAAATAAAGATTAAATAAAGGTGAAATAAAGATGAAATAAAAGTGAAATAAAGATTAAATGAAGGTGAAATAAAGATTAAATGAAGGTGAAATAAAGATTAATTTGAGGTGAAGTTAAGATTATTACTTTTTTTAAAAGATCATTCGGAAGCTGCTTCCGCGTATTGGTTGGTTTGGGGCAGTTATCTTCCGGAAGATTCTGCTGGAAACTCGAACTCCGTTTTTTATTTCTTCCGGAAGAGGGTCTTCCCTCATTGGGGTGTATTGGAATGGTCTTCCGGAAGACCCTTCCGGAAGAAGGTTTCCTCATTGATTTGTGTTGGAAGTGTCTTCCGGAAGAATCTTCCGGAAGACACTTTCCCATCAATGGTTTACATGGGAACTGCCTTCCGGAAGATTCTTCCGGAAGACGGTCTCCCTCATTGGTGTGTATTGGAAGGGTCTTCCGGAAGATTCTACCGGAAGTTGGTTTCCCTCATTGATTGACACGGGAACACTCGTCCGGAAGACTCTTCCGGAAGACGCTTTCCCATCAATGGTTTACATGGGAACTGTCTTCCGGAAGACTCTTCCGGAAGATGGTTTCCCCATTGGTTTGTATTGCGAGCTATCTTCCGGAAGTTTAGTTTTTATTTGGCGCTCAACTTCAAGAATCTTTCTTCCGATATTAGTAGACTCTTCCTCTTCCGGAAGATAACACCAACCCAGTCAGTTTGCATTGGGCTTTCTTCTTCCGGATTGGTCCAATCGGTCACCAACTTCCTGCTTCCGGAAGGGGAAGACCCCGCCCCCCGTCACCATGGAGACGGCGATGGCGTCCAAGATGGCGGCAACGGCAGAGGTGGATGAGGAGGTGGAGTTGGGAATGGAGAGGAGAGGTGGAGGAGGAGGAGGTGGAGGAGGTGGTGGAGGTGGTGGTGGTGGAGGTGGAGGAGGTGGAGGAGGTGGAGGAGGTGGGGGGGAGGAGGTGGTGGGGACGAGGGGGAGGAGGCGGAGGAGTTCTCAGAGCTATGAAGAGTTCCTGGACTCGCACATCAACGCGCGGGACCTCTACTACCTAGAGGTGAGAGACTCACTCAGAGACTCACTCAGAGACTCACTCACTCAGAGACTCACTCAGAGACTCACTCACTCAGAGACTCACTCACTCAGAGACTCACTCACTCAGAGACTCACTCAGAGACTCACTCACTCAGAGACTCACTCACTCAGAGACTCACTCACTCAGAGACTCACTCAGAGACTCACTCAGTCAGAGACTCACTCAGAGACTCACTCAGAGACTCACTCAGAGACTCACTCACTCAGAGACTCACTCAGAGACTCACTCACTCAGAGACTCACTCACTCAGAGACTCACTCAGAGACTCACTCACTCAGAGACTCACTCACTCAGAGACTCACTCACTCAGAGACTCACTCAGAGACTCACTCACTCAGAGACTCACTCACTCAGAGACTCACTCACTCAGAGACTCACTCACTCAGAGACTCACTCACTCAGAGACTCACTCAGAGACTCACTCACTCAGAGACTCACTCAGAGACTCACTCAGTCAGAGACTCACTCAGTCAGAGACTCACTCAGACATTCACTCAGAGACTCACTCACTCAGAGACTCACTCACTCAGAGACTCACTCAGAGACTCACTCAGTCAGAGACTCACTCAGTCAGAGACTCACTCAGTCAGAGACTCACTCAGTCAGAGACTCACTCAGTCAGAGACTCACTCACTCAGAGACTCACTCAGTCAGAGACTCACTCAGTCAGAGACTCACTCAGAGACTCACTCACTCAGAGACTCACTCACTCAGAGACTCACTCAGAGACTCACTCAGTCAGAGACTCACTCACTCAGAGACTCACTCACTCAGAGACTCACTCACTCAGAGACTCACTCACTCAGAGACTCACTCAGAGACTCACTCACTCAGAGACTCACTCACTCAGAGACTCACTCACTCATAGACTCACTCAGAGACTCACTCAGTCAGAGACTCACTCACTCAGAGACTCACTCAGAGACTCACTCAGAGACTCACTCAGTCAGAGACTCACTCAGTCAGAGACTCACTCAGACATTCACTCAGAGACTCACTCACTCAGAGACTCACTCACTCAGAGACTCACTCACTCAGAGACTCACTCACTCAGAGACTCACTCACTCAGAGACTCACTCAGAGACTCACTCAGTCAGAGACTCACTCACTCAGAGACTCACTCAGAGACTCACTCAGTCAGAGACTCACTCAGTCAGAGACTCACTCAGTCAGAGACTCACTCAGACATTCACTCAGAGACTCACTCACTCAGAGACTCACTCACTCAGAGACTCACTCACTCAGAGACTCACTCACTCAGAGACTCACTCACTCAGAGACTCACTCAGTCAGAGACTCACTCAGAGACTCACTCATAGACTCACTCACTCAGAGACTCACTCAGTCAGAGACTCACTCAGAGACTCACTCAGAGACTCACTCAGTCAGAGACTCACTCAGTCAGAGACTCACTCAGACTCACTCAGAGACTCACTCACTCAGAGACTCACTCACTCAGAGACTCACTCAGAGACTCACTCAGTCAGAGACTCACTCACTCAGAGATTCACTCAGAGACTCACTCACTCAGAGACTCACTCAGTCAGAGACTCACTCAGAGACTCACTCAGTCAGAGACTCACTCACTCAGAGACTCATTCACTCAGAGACTCACTCACTCAGAGACTCACTCACTCAGAGACTCACTCACTCAGAGACTCACTCACTCAGAGACTCACTCAGTCAGAGACTCACTCAGAGACTCACTCAGTCAGAGACTCACTCACTCAGAGACTCACTCACTCAGAGACTCACTCACACAGAGACTCACTCACTCAGAGACTCACTCAGAGACTCACTCACTCAGAGACTCACTCACTCAGAGACTCACTCACTCATAGACTCACTCAGAGATTCACTCAGTCAGAGACTCACTCACTCAGAGACTCACTCAGAGACTCACTCAGTCAGAGACTCACTCAGTCAGAGACTCACTCAGTCAGAGACTCACTCAGACATTCACTCAGAGACTCACTCACTCAGAGACTCACTCACTCAGAGACTCACTCACTCAGAGACTCACTCACTCAGAGACTCACTCAGACACTCACTCAGAGACTCACTCACTCAGAGACTCACTCACTCAGAGACTCACTCACTCAGAGACTCACTCACTCAGAGACTCACTCAGACATTCACTCAGAGACTCACTCACTCAGAGACTCACTCACTCAGAGACTCACTCAGACACTCACTCAGAGACTCACTCACTCAGAGACTCACTCAGAGACTCACTCAGAGACTCACTCAGAGACTCACTCACTCAGAGACTCACTCAGAGACTCACTCAGAGACTCACTCAGACTCACTCAGAGACTCACTCAGAGACTCACTCACTCAGACACTCACTCACTCAGAGACTCACTCAGAGACTCACTCACTCAGAGACTCACTCACTCAGAGACTCACTCACTCAGAGACTCACTCACTCAGAGACTCACTCACTCAGAGACTCAGTCAGAGACTCACTCACTCAGAGACTCACTCAGAGACTCACTCAGAGACTCACTCACTCAGAGACTCAGTCAGAGACTCACTCAGAGACTCACTCAGTCAGAGACTCACTCACTCAGAGACTCACTCACTCAGAGACTCACTCAGAGACTCACTCAGTCAGAGACTCACTCACTCAGAGATTCACTCAGAGACTCACTCACTCAGAGACTCACTCAGTCAGAGACTCACTCAGAGACTCACTCAGTCAGAGACTCACTCACTCAGAGACTCATTCACTCAGAGACTCACTCACTCAGAGACTCACTCACTCATAGACTCACTCACTCAGAGACTCACTCACTCAGAGACTCACTCAGTCAGAGACTCACTCAGAGACTCACTCAGTCAGAGACTCACTCACTCAGAGACTCACTCACTCAGAGACTCACTCACTCAGAGACTCACTCACTCAGAGACTCACTCAGAGACTCACTCACTCAGAGACTCACTCACTCAGAGACTCACTCACTCATAGACTCACTCAGAGACTCACTCAGTCAGAGACTCACTCACTCAGAGACTCACTCAGAGACTCACTCAGTCAGAGACTCACTCAGTCAGAGACTCACTCAGACATTCACTCAGAGACTCACTCACTCAGAGACTCACTCACTCAGAGACTCACTCACTCAGAGACTCACTCACTCAGAGACTCACTCAGACACTCACTCAGAGACTCACTCACTCAGAGACTCACTCACTCAGAGACTCACTCACTCAGAGACTCACTCACTCAGAGACTCACTCAGACATTCACTCAGAGACTCACTCACTCAGAGACTCACTCACTCAGAGACTCACTCAGAGACTCACTCAGAGACTCACTCACTCAGAGACTCACTCAGAGACTCACTCAGAGACTCACTCAGAGACTCACTCACTCAGAGACTCACTCAGAGACTCACTCAGAGACTCACTCAGACACTCACTCAGAGACTCACTCAGAGACTCACTCACTCAGACACTCACTCACTCAGAGACTCACTCAGAGACTCACTCAGAGACTCACTCACTCAGAGACTCACTCACTCAGAGACTCACTCACTCAGAGACTCACTCACTCAGAGACTCACTCACTCAGAGACTCAGTCAGAGACTCACTCACTCAGAGACTCACTCAGAGACTCACTCAGAGACTCACTCACTCAGAGACTCAGTCAGAGACTCAGTCAGAGACTCACTCAGAGACTCACTCAGTCAGAGACTCACTCACTCAGAGACTCACTCACTCAGAGACTCACTCACTCACTCAGAGCTTCACTCAGAGACTCATTCACTCAGAGACTCACTCACTCACTCAGAGACTCACTCACTCAGAGACTCACTCACTCACTCAGAGACTCACTCAGAGACTCACTCAGAGACTCACTCACTCAGAGACTTACTCAATCAGAGACTCACTCAGAAACTCACTCAGAGACTCACTCAGAGACTCACTCACTCAGAGACTCACTCACTCAGATACTCACTGAGAGACTCACTCACTCAGAGACTCACTCAGAGACTCACTCACTCAGAAACTCACTCAGAGACTCACTCACTCAGAGACTCACTCAGAGACTCACTCACTCAGAGATTCACTCACTGAGAGACTCACTCAGAGACTCACTCAGAGACTCACTCAGATACTCACTCACTCAGAAACTCACTCACTGAGAGACTCACTCAGAGACTCACTCACTCAGAGACTCACTCAGGGACTCACTCAGAGACTCACTCAGATACTCACTCACTCAGAGACTCACTCAGAGACTCACTCACTCAGAAACTCACTTACTCAGAGACTCACTCAGAGACTCACTCACTCACTCAGAGACTCACTCACTCAGAGACTCACTCACTCAGATACTCACTCAGAGACTCACTCAGAGACTCACTCACTCAGAGACTCACTCACTCAGAGACTCACTCACTCAGAGACTCACTCACTCAGATACTCACTCACTCAGAGACTCACTCAGAGACTCACTCAGAGACTCACTCACTCAGATACTCACTCACTCAGAGACTCACTCAGAGACTCACTCACTCAGAGACTCACTCCGAGACTCACTCAGAGACTCACTCACTCAGAGACTCACTCAGAGACTCACTCACTCAGAGACTCACTCACTCAGAGACTCACTCACTCAGAGACTCACTGAGAGACTCACTCACTGAGAGACTCACTCAGAGACTCACTCACTCAGAGACTCACTCACTGAGAGACTCACTCACTGAGAGACTCACTCACTCAGAGACTCACTCAGAGACTCACTGAGAGACTCACTCACTGAGGGCCTCACTCACCACTCCAGATGATGATGATGGTGGTAACGAGGACGTTGTCTCCAGGACGAGGAGGTGGTGCGCGCTGTCTTGGCGCTGGGTTACCGCAGCAGTGGCGAGGAGATTTTAACTCGCGACGAGTTCCAGAGACGTCGAAACCTCCGCAGGGAACAAGAGGAGAGAGAGGCGGAGAGACGCTGGTGAGTCGTAGTGCTAGTAGTATCATCATCATCATCATTAGTATCATCATCATCAATAGTATCATCATCAGTATCATCATCATCAGTATCATCATCATCATCAATAGTATCATCATCAGTAGTATCATCATCATCAGTATCATCATCATCAGTAGTAGGATCATCATCAGTATCATCATCATCATCAGTAGTAGGATCATCATCAGTAGTAGGATCATCATCAGTAGTAGTATCATCATCAGTAGTAGTATCATCATCATCAGTATCATCATCAGTAGTAGGATCATCATCAGTAGTAGTATCATCATCATCATCATCAATAGTATCATCATCAGTAGTAGTATCATCATCAGTAGTAGTATCATCATCATCATCATCAATAGTATCATCATCATCAGTATCATCATCAGTAGTAGGATCATCATCAGTAGTAGTATCATCATCATCAATAGTATCATCATCAGCATCATCATCATCATCAGTATCATCATCATCATCAGTAGTAGTATCATCATCATCAGTATCATCATCAGTAGTAGTATCATCATCATCATCAGTAGTATCATCATCATCAGTATCATCATCAGTAGTAGTATCATCATCATCAGTAGTAGTATCATCATCATTAGTATCATCAGTAGTATCATGATCATCAGTAGTAGTATCATCATCAGTATCATCAGTAGCATCATCATCAGTAGTAGTATCATCATCATCATCAGTATCATCATCATCAGTAGTATCATCATTATCAGTAGTAGTAGCATCATCATCAGTATCATCATCAGTAGTATCATCATCATCAGTATCATCATCATCAGTATCATCATCATCAGTAGTATCATCATCATCAGTATCATCATCATCATCAGTAGTATCATCATCAGTAGTATCATTATTAGTAGTAGTATCATCATCATCATCAGTATCACCATCAGTAGTAGTATCATCATCATCAGTATCATCATCAGTAGTATCATCAGTATCGTCATCAGTAGCAGTATCATCATCATCAGTTTCATCATTATCAGTAGTATCATCATCAGTAGTAGTATCATCATCAGTATCATCATCATCAGTATCATCAGTAGTATCATCATCAGTATCATCATCAATAGTATCATCATCAGTAGTATCATCATCAGTAGTAGTATCATCATCATCAGTATCATCATCAGTAGTATCATCATCAGTAGTAGTATCATCATCAGTATCATCATCATCAGTGGTAGTATCATCATCAGTATCATCATCATCAGTATTATCATCATCAGTAGTATCATCATCATCAGTAGTAGTATCATCATCATCATCATCAGTATCATCATTATCAGTAGTATCATCAGTAGTAGTATCATCATCATCAGTATCAAATCAGTAGCATCATCAGTATTATCATCATCAGTAGTATCATCATCATCAGTAGTAGTATCATCATCAGTATCATCATCATCAGTCGTATCATCTTCATCATCATCATCAGTGGTAGTAGCATCATCAGTATCATCATCAGTAGTATCATCATCATCAGTAGTAGTATCATCATCAGTATCATCATCATCAGTCGTATCATCATCATCATCAGTGGTAGTAGCATCATCATCAGTATCATCATCAATAGTATCATCATCATCAGTAGTATCATCAACAGTAGTAGTATCATCAGTAATAGTATCATCATCATCATCAGACTGGTGGCCACGGGAGGTAATGACAGAGGAGTCAGCCTGCAGTGTGAGTGGACTGATACTACTACTGATGATGATACTACTACTGATGATGATACTACTACTGATGATGATACTACTACTGATGATGATACTACTACTGATGATACTGCGTCTGATGTTGGTGATACTACTTCTGATGTTGGTGATACTACTACTACTGATGATGATACTACTACTGATGATGATACTACTACTGATGATGATACTACTACTGATGATACTGCGTCTGATGTTGGTGATACTACTACTACTGATGATGATACTACTACTGATGATGATACTACTACTGATGATGATACTACTACTGATGATGCTACTACTGATGATGATACTACTACTGATGATGATACTACTACTACTGATGATGATACTACTACCGATGATGGTGATACTACTACTACTGATGATGATACTACTGATGATTATACTACTACTAATGATGATTATGCTACTACTGATGATGATGCTACTACTGATGATGATACTACTACTGATGATGATACTACTACTGATGATGATGATGCTACTATTGATGATGATACTACTACTGATGATGATGATGATGCTACTACTGATGATGATACTACTGATGATGATGATGATACTACTACTGATGATGATACTATTACTGATGATGATGATGCTACTTCTGATGATGATGCTACTACTGATGATGATACTACTACTGATGATGATACTACTACTGATGATGATACTGATGATGTTGTTGTTGTTACAGTACGCTGTACAGTGACGGTCTGGACATATCAGATCCGCTCCTGAAAGCAATCGCAGAGAGAGAATCATCACTCAAGAGTGGGAAACTTTCAGTGAGTCACTCACACACTCAACCACTCACCCGCTCACTCAGTCACTTACTCACCCACTCACTCAGTCACTTACCCGCTCACTCAGTCACTTACTCACCCACTCACTCAGTCACTCACTCAACCACTCAATCACCCACTCATCCACTCACTCGCTCACTCACTCACCCACTCACTCACTCACCCACTTACCCACACACTCACTCACCCACCCACTCACTCACCCACTCACTCACTCACCTACTCACTCACTCAGTCACTTACTCAACCACTCACCCATCCCCTCACTCACCCACTCACCCACTCACCCACTGACTCGCTCACTCACCCACTCACTCACTCACTCACCCACCCACCTACTCACCCACTCACCCACCCACCTACTCACCCACCCACCCACCTACTCACCCACCCACTCACCCACCCACCCACCCACTCTCTAGACCATTCTCTATCTCCGTGCCCGTAACGGCCGTGGTGAGGAGTTCTCTGGCTACATCGACCTGGCTGAGCGACTCAGCACCGAGGACTTCCGGCCATACTTCACCGGAAAGTGTCTCCTGCTACCTCGCTCAACAGACTTGAGGTGGGTGGGTGAGTGGGTGGGTGGGTGCGTGGGTGGCTGAGTGGGTGAGTGAATGGGTGAGTGGGTGGGTAAGTGAGTGGGTGAGTGAGTGGGTGAGTGAGTGGGCGGGTAGGTGAACGGGTGGGTGAGTGAGTGGGTGAGTGAATGGGTGAGTGGGTGAATGAATGGGTGAGTGGGTGAGTGAGTGGGTGAGTGAATGGGTGAGTGGGTGAGTGGGTGGGTGGCTGAGTGGGTGGCTGAGTGGGTGAGTGAATGGGTGAGTGGGTGGGTAAGTGAGTGGGTGAGTGAGTGGGTGAGTGAGTGTGCGGGTAGGTGAACGGGTGGGTGAGTCAGTGGGTGAGTGAATGGGTGAGTGGGTGAGTGAATGGGTGAGTGGGTGGGTGGCTGAGTGGGTGGCTGAGTGGGTGAGTGAATGGGTGAGTGGGTGGGTAAGTGAGTGGGTGAGTGAGTAGGTGAGTGAGTGGGCGGGTAGGTGAACGGGTGGGTGAGTCAGTGGGTGAGTGAATGGGTGAGTGGGTGAGTGAATGGGTGAGTGGGTGAGTGAGTGGGTGAGTGAATGGGTGAGTGGGTGAGTGGGTGGGTGGCTGAGTGGGTGGCTGAGTAGGTGAGTGAATGGGTGAGTGGGTGGGTAAGTGAGTGGGTGAGTGAGTGGGTGAGTGAGTGGGCGGGTAGGTGAACGGGTGGGTGAGTCAGTGGGTGAGTGAATGGGTGAGTGGGTGAGTGAATGGGTGAGTGGGTGAGTGAGTGGGTGAGTGAATGGGTGAGTGGGTGAGTGAATGGGTGAGTGGGTGAGTGAGTGGGTGAGTGAGTGGGTGAGTGAATGGGTGAATGGGTGAGTGAATGGGTGAGTGGGTGAGTGAGTGGGTGAGTGAGTGGGTGAGTGAATGGGTGAATGGGTGAGTGAATGGGTGAGTGGGTGAGTGAGTGGGTGAGTGAGTGGGTGAGTGAGTGGGTGAGTGAATGGGTGAATGGGTGAGTGAATGGGTGAGTGGGTGAGTGAGTGGGTGAGTGAGTGGGTGAGTGAGTGGGTGAGTGAATGGGTGAATGGGTGAGTGAATGGGTGAGTGGGTGAGTGAGTGAGTGAGTGGGTGAGTGAGTGGGTGAGTGAATGGGTGAATGGGTGAGTGTACGGTACCCCACTGTACTGTGCGTCTCTGTCTCTCTGTCTCTGTCTGTCTCTCTCTGTCTCTGTCTCTGTGTCTCTGTGTCTCTCTGTCTCTGTGTCTCTGTCTCTGTGTCTCTGTCTCTGTGTCTCTGTGTCTCTCTGTTTCTGTCTCTATGTCTCTGTCTCTCTCTGTCTCTGTCTCTCTCTGTCTGTCTCTCTCTCTGTCTCTCTCTGTGTCTCTGTCTGTCTCTGTCTGTCTCTCTGTCTCTGTGTGTCTCTGTCTCTGTGTCTCTGTCTCTCTCTGTCTCTGTCTCTCTCTGTCTGTCTCTCTCTCTGTCTCTCTCTGTGTCTCTGTCTGTCTCTGTCTGTCTCTGTCTCTGTCTCTCTGTCTCTGTGTGTCTCTGTCTCTGTGTCTCTGTCTCTGTGTCTCTCTGTCTCTGTGTCTCTGTGTCTCTCTGTCTCTGTGTCTCTGTGTCTCTGTCCGTGTCTCTGTCTCTGTGTCTGTGTCTCTGTCTCTGTCTCTGTGTCTCTGTCTCTCTGTCTCTGTGTCTCTGTGTCTCTGTCTGTGTCTCTGTCTCTGTGTCTGTGTCTCTGTCTCTGTCTCTGTGTCTCTGTGTCTCTCTGTCTCTGTGTCTGTGTCTCTGTGTCTCTGTCTGTGTCTCTGTCTCTCTATGTCTCTGTCTCTGTGTCTCTGTTTCTGTGTCTCTGTGTCTCTCTGTCTCTGTGTCTCTCTGTCTTTGTGTCTCTGTCTCTGTGTCTCTGTGTCTCTCTGTCTCTGTGTCTCTCTGTCTCTCTGTCTCTGTGTCTCTGTGTCTCTCTGTCTCTGTGTCTCTCTGTGTCTCTCTGTCTCTGTGTCTCTGTCTCTGTGTCTCTGTCTCTGTGTCTCTCTGTCTCTGTCTCTGTGTCTCTCTGTCTCTGTGTCTCTGTCTCTGTGTCTCTGTGTCTCTGTCTCTGTGTCTCTGTGTCTCTGTGTCTCTCTGTCTCTGTGTCTCTGTGTCTCTCTGTCTCTGTGTCTCTGTCTCTGTGTCTCTGTCTCTGTTTCTGTGTCTCTGTGTCTCTCTGTCTCTGTATCTCTCTGTCTCTCTGTCTCTGTGTCTCTGTGTCTCTGTCTCTGTGTCTCTGTCTCTGTGTCTCTCTGTCTGTCTCTCTGTCTCTCTGTCTCTGTGTCTCTGTCTCTCTGTCTCTGTGTCTCTGTCCCTGTGTCTGTGTCTGTATCTCTGTCTCTGTGTCTCTGTGTCTCTCTGTCTCTGTGTGTCTCTCTGTCTCTGTCTCTGTGTCTCTGTCTCTCTGTTTCTGTCTCTGTGTCTCTCTGGCTCTGTGTCTCTCTGTCTCTGTGTCTCTGTCTCTGTGTCTCTGTCTCTGTGTCTCTGTCTCTGTGTGTGTCTCTCTGTCTCTGTCTGTCTCTGTGTCTCTCTGTCTCTGTGTCTCTCTGTCTCTGTGTCTCTGTCTCTCTCTGTCTCTGCCTCTGTGTCTCTGTATCTCTCTGTCTCTGTCTCTGTGTCTCTGTCTCTGTGTCTCTGTGTCTCTGTCTCTGTCTCTGTGTCTCTCTGTCTCTGTGTCTCTGTATCTGTCTCTGTGTCTCTGTCTCTCTGTCTCTGTGTCTCTGTGTCTCTGTGTCTCTGTCTCTGTGTCTCTCTGTCTCTGTATCTCTGTATCTCTCTGTCTCTGTGTCTCTGTCTCTGTCTCTCTGTCTCTGTATCTCTGTATCTCTGTATCTCTCTGTCTCTGTCTCTCTGTCTCTGTGTCTCTGTGTCTCTGTGTCTCTGTCTCTGTCTCTCTGTCTCTGTGTCTCTGTCTCTGTCTCTCTCTGTCTCTGTCTCTCTGTCTCTGTCTCTGTGTCTCTGTCTCTGTCTCTCTGTGTCTCTGTGTCTCTGTCTCTGTGTCTCTGTCTCTGTATCTCTGTATCTCTCTGTCTCTGTCTCTCTGTCTTTGTGTCTCTCTGTCTCTGTGTCTCTCTGTCTCTGTCTCTCTCTGTCTCTGTCTCTCTGTCTCTGTCTCTGTGTCTCTGTCTCTGTCTCTGTGTCTCTGTCTCTGTCTCTGTCTCTCTCTGTCTCTGTCTCTGTGTCTCTGTGTCTCTCTGTCTCTGTGTCTCTGTCTCTCTGTCTCTCCGCAGCTTCTACAATTGGGATACGAACGCCTGGAATGGTCGCTCAAGCGCCAACTTCCTCCTGATCATTGACGATGGTGGAGGAGCTGGAGGAGGTGGAGGAGGTGGTGGGGGAGGAGGTGGAGGAGGTGGTGGGGGAGGACGAAGAGCTGGAGGAGGTGGAGGAGGAGGTGGAGGTGGTGGGGGAGGTGGAGGAGGTGGAGGACGAGGTGGTGGAGGAGTTGGAATCTGTTTCAAGAATAAAAGAGATCGCAAAGTCATCTGTGTAGATCCCAAGGTGAGAGGTGGTGGTGGAGGTGGGGGTGGAGGAGGGGGTGGAGGAGGGGGGGGTGGAGGTGGTGGAGGAGGAGGTGGAGGAGGTGGAGGGGGTGGAGGAGGTGGAGGAGGTGGAGGGGGGGGTGGAGGAGGTGGAGGAGGTGGAGGTGGAGGAGGTGGAGGTGGTGGAGGTGGAGGGGGCTCATAGAGATACATGGGTGGGTGAGTGAGTGAGTGGGTGAGTGGGTGAGTGAGTGGGTGGGTGGGTGAGTGAGTGAGTGGGTGGGTGAGTGAGTGAGTGGGTGAGTGGGTGAGTGGGTGGGTGAGTGGGTGGGTGGGTGAGTGGGTGGGTGGGTGGGTGAGTGAGTGAGTGGGTGGGTGAGTGAGTGAGTGAGTGGGTGGGTGGGTGAGTGGGTGGGTGGGTGAGTGAGTGAGTGAGTGGGTGGGTGGGTGAGTGGGTGGGTGAGTGAGTGAGTGGGTGGGTGGTTGGGTGAGTGGGTGGGTGAGTGGGTGAGTGGGTGGGTGAGTGGGTGGGTGGGTGACTGGGTGAGTGGGTGGGTGAGTGTGTGAGTGAGTGCGTGAGTGAGTGAGTGGGTGGGTGGGTGAGTGGGTGAGTGGGTGGGTGAGTGGTTGGGTGGGTGGGTGAGTGGGTGAGTGGGTGGGTGGGTGAGTGGGTGGGTGAGTGGGTGAGTGGGTGGGTGGGTGGGTGAGTGGGTGGGTGGGTGGGTGAGTGGGTGGGTGGGTGGGTGAGTGGGTGGGTGGGTGGGTGAGTGAGTGAGTGGGTGGGTGGGTGAGTGAGTGAGTGGGTGGGTGGGTGAGTGGGTGGGTGTGTGGGGGGGGGTGGGTGAGTGAGTGAGTGGGTGGTTGAGTGGATGTGACTGTCTCACTCTGTCTGTATTTCTGTCTCTGTCTCTCTCTGTCTCTCTCTGTCTCTCTGTGTCTCTCTGTCTCTCTCTCTCTCTGTCTCTCTGTCTCTCTCTCTCTCTGTCTCTCTCTCTGTCTCTGTCTGTCTCTCTCTCTGTTTCTCTCTCTGTCTCTCTCTCTCTGTCTCTCTCTGTCTCTCTGTCTCTCTCTGTCTCTCTCTGTGTCTCTCTGTCTGTCTCTCTCTGTCTCTCTCCGTGTCTCTCTCTCTCTCTCTCCAGGCTGATTCTGTCCGCCTGAGTCTCCGCTCTCCACTCTACCTTCAGGCCGTCATCTTTGACCACGTGACTCGTCGCAAGGCATGATGGGAATCAAAAGTCTACAATACAGTCTTTACCACACACAGTCAATAATATAGCATATGATACATACAGTCAATACCACGGTCTATAAGACTCATAATTTATTCTACATTCAGTGTATACTACAGGCTATACCACATACAGTCTATACGATAGAGTGCCAGTATACTGTAGTCATGTATAGCCTGTAATGTGTACAATAAAGTCTATACTGGCATACAGTCTCTAATCTACAGTCTAATAAATAGTCTCTAATCTAGCGTGTGAATATATCTGTGTGACACTCACCCACTCACCCACGCACTCATCCATTCATTCACCTACCCCCTCACCCAATTACCTACCCACCCACTCACCCACCCACTCATCCATTCATTCACCTACCCCCTCACCCAATCACCTACCCACCCACTCACCCACACACTCACCCACCCACTCACCCACTCACTCCCCTGCTCATCCAACCACCCACTCACCCACCCACTCTCCCACTCACCCACCCACTCTCCCAATCACCTACCCATGCACTCACCCACCCACTCACCCACTCATTCACCAACCCACTCACACCCACTCACCCACTCTTCCACCCACTCTTCCACCCACTCACCCACCCACTCACTCACACACCTACTCACCCAACCCACCAACCCACCAACCCACCCACCCAGTTACTCACCCACCCACCAACCCACCCACTCACCCACTCCCCCACTCACCCACGCACTCACCAACCCACCCACTCTCCTACTCACCCACTCATTCACCTACCCACCCACTCACCCACCCACTCTCCCAATCACCTACCCACGCACTCACTCACCCACTCACCCACACACCCACTCACCCACACACATACTCACCCACCCACCAACCCACCCATTCACCCATTCATTCACCTACCCACCCACTCACCAACCCACTCACACCCACTCACCCACTCATTCGCCCACCCACTCACCAACCCACTCACCAACCCACTCACCCACTCACCTACTCACCCACTCACTCACCCACTCACCCACTCACTCACTCACCCACCCACCCATTCACTCACCCACTCACTCACCCACCCACTCACTCAACCACTCACTCACCACCCACACACCCACAACAACCACCATTCACCACTAAGTGGTAACGGTGACGTCACCACGGCGCCCGTACCAGGCGAGGTGCACTTTGAGGCAATGACGTGAAGTGTCGATGGCTGGAGGAGGTCACGTGACAGACCCAGCAGGTGCCATGGGTTGACTGCTGTGCCAGGCTAGGTGCAGGAGGAGGAGGAGGTCACGGGACAGACCCAGCAGGTGCCATGGGTTGACTGCTGTGCCAGGCTAGGTGCAGGAGGTCACAGGACAGACCCAGCAGGTGCCATTGGTTGACTGCTGTGCCAGGCTAGGTGCATGAGAAGGTCACGTGACAGACCCAGCAGGTGCCATGGGTTGACTGCTGTGCCAGGCTAGGTGCAGGAGGAGGTCACGGGACAGACCCAGCAGGTGCCATTGGTTGACTGCTGTGCCAGGCTAGGTGCAGGAGGAGGAGGAGGTCACGGGACAGACCCAGCAGGTGCCATGGTCTTGCACCACCTGTGCCCCCTACTGTGCAAACTCGTAGTGCTTTAGCCACCCGGCGCTCCGCTCGTTACTGTGAGTCTATGTGTCTCTGTGTGGTGGTGGTGAGTCTGTGGGTCTCTGTGTGGTGGTGGTGAGTCTGTGGGTCTCTGTGTGGTGGTGGTGAGTCTGTGGGTCTCTGTGTGGTGGTGGTGAGTCTGTGGGTCTCTGTGTGGTGGTGGTGAGTCTGTGGGTCTCTGTGTGGTGGTGGTGAGTCTGTGAGTCTCTGTGTGGTGGTGAGTCTATGGGTCTCTGTGTGGTGGTGGTGAGTCTGTGGGTCTCTGTGTGGTGGTGGTGAGTCTGTGGGTCCCTGTGTGATGATGAGTCTATGGGTCTCTGTGGGATGATGAGTCTGTGGGTCTCTGTGTGGTGGTGAGTCTATGGGTCTCTGTGTGGTGGTGGTGAGTCTATGGGTCTCTGTGTGGTGGTGAGTCTATGGGTCTCTGTGTGGTGGTGGTGAGTCTATGGGTCTCTGTCTATGGGTCTCTGTGTGAGTGGTGAGTCTATGGGTCTCTGTGGTGAGTCTGTGGGTCTCTGTGGTGAGTGTGTGGGTCTCTATGGTGAGTCTGTGGGTCTCTATGGTGAGTCTGTGGGTCTCTGTGGTGAGTCTGTGGGTCTCTATGATGAGTCTGTGGGTCTCTGTGGTGAGTCTGTGGGTCTCTATGGTGAGTCTATGGGTCTCTGTGGTGAGTCTGTGGGTCTCTGTGGTGAGTCTGTGGTCTCTATGGTGAGTCTATGGGTCTCTATGGTGAGTCTATGGGTCTCTATGGTGAGTCTGTGGGTCTCTATGGTGAGTCTATGGGTCTCTATGGTGAGTCTATGGCTCTCTGTGGTGAGTCTGTGAGTCTCTATGGTGAGTCTGTGGGTCTCTATGGTGAGTCTGTGGGTCTCTATGGTGAGTCTATGGGTCTCTGTGGTGAGTCTGTGGGTCTTTATGGTGAGTCTATGGGTCTCTGTGTGAGTGGTGAGTCTATGGGTCTCTATGGTGAGTCTGTGGGTCTCTGTGGTGAGTCTATGGGTCTCTGTGGTGAGTCTATGGGTCTCTATGGTGAGTCTATGGGTCTCTATGGTGAGTCTATGGGTCTCTATGGTGAGTCTATGGGTCTCTGTGGTGAGTCTATGGGTCTCTGTGGTGAGTCTATGGGTCTCTATGGTGAGTCTGTGGGTCTCTGTGGTGAGTCTGTGGGTCTCTATGGTGAGTCTATGGGTCTCTATGGGTCTCTATGGTGAGTCTATGGGTCTCTGTGAGTGGTGAGTCTATGGGTCTCTGTGGTGAGTCTGTGGGTCTCTATGGTGAGTCTATGGGTCTCTGTGTGAGTGGTGAGTCTATGGGTCTCTATGGTGAGCCTATGGGTCTCTATGGTGAGTCTGTGGGTCTCTATGATGAGTCTGTGGGTCTCTATGGTGAGTCTATGGGTCTCTATGGGTCTCTATGGTGAGTCTATGGGTCTCTGTGAGTGGTGAGTCTATGGGTCTCTGTGGTGAGTCTGTGGGTCTCTGTGTGAGTGGTGAGTCTGTGGGTCTCTATGGTGAGTCTATGGGTCTCTGTGTGAGTGGTGAGTCTGTGGGTCTCTGTGGTGAGTCTGTGGGTCTCTATGGTGAGTCTATGGGTCTCTGTGTGAGTGGTGAGTCTATGGGTCTCTATGGTGAGTCTATGGGTCTCTGTGTGAGAGGTGAGTCTGTGGGTCTCTATGGTGAGTCTATGGGTCTCTGTGTGAGTGGTGAGTCTATGGGTCTCTGTGGTGAGTCTGTGGGTCTCTGTGGTGAGTCTGTGGGTCTCAATGGTGAGTCTGTGGGTCTCTATGGTGAGTCTATGGGTCTCTATGGTGAGTCTATGGGTCTCTGTGTGAGTGGTGAGTCTATGGGTCTCTGTGGTGAGTCTATGGGTCTCTGTGTGAGTGGTGAGTCTATGGGTCTCTATGGTGAGTCTATGGGTCTCTGTGTGAGTGGTGAGTCTATGGGTCTCTGTGGTGAGTCTGTGGGTTTCTGTGGTGAGTCTGTGGGTCTCTATGGTGAGTCTGTGGGTCTCTATGGTGAGTCTATGGGTCTCTATGGTGAGTCTATGGGTCTCTGTGTGAGTGGTGAGTCTATGGGTCTCTGTGGTGAGTCTATGGTGCTCTGTGTGAGTGGTGAGTCTGTGGGTCTTTATGGTGAGTCTATGGGTCTCTGTGTGAGTGGTGAGTCTATGGGTCTCTGTGTGAGTGGTGAGTCTGTGGGTCTTTATGGTGAGTCTATGGGTCTCTGTGTGAGTGGTGAGTCTATGGGTCTCTGTGTGAGTGGTGAGTCTGTGGGTCTTTATGGTGAGTCTATGGGTCTCTGTGTGAGTGGTGAGTCTATGGGTCTCTGTGGTGAGTCTATGGGTCTCTATAATGAGTCTATGGGTCTCTGTGGTGAGTCTGTGTGCCCCGCTCACGTGCCACCTAGGTACACGTACACCTTATCAGGCTAGGTGCACGTACACCACGTGGTACCAGGCTAGGTGCACGTACACCACGTGGTACCAGGCTAAGGTGCACGTACACCACGTTGTACCAGGCTAGGTGCACCTACACCACGTGGTGTACCAGGCTAGGTACACCACGTGGTACCAGGCTAGGTGCACGTACACCACTTGGTGTACCAGGCTAGGTGCACTTACACCACGTGGTGTATCAGGCTAGGTACACCACGTGGTGTGCCAGGCTAGGGACACCACGTGGTGTATCAGGCTAGGTACATCACGTGGTACCAGGCGAGGTGCACCACGTGGTGTACCAGGCGAGGTACACCACGTGGTGCACCTAGCCGGAATCGATTGCATAGAATCTACGCGATTCTGAATTCTCTATCGAGTCCTCACCTCTTCCGATTCTTTCGTCGTTTAGATCCATTCGGCTTTGAATGGATCGAAACTTTTCTCTATATATTTGACGTTTCAGGCAACAACCCTTGGTCATAGCACGCGGGCCCGACCTCGTCGAGTTCAATTCCCTACCCCCCCACCCGCCCACCGATTTAAATGATCGCTTATCAATAGCCGAATCGACGACCGCATGGAATCTATTAACCATCTAAATCGATTCACCTCGCCCTCCCCACCGGCATTTAAATTAAAGGGGGACCCGTGGAGCCCCACCCCCTTCCTTAGCGTCACGGATGCGCATGCGCAGAGCGCGCGGCCGCGACGGATTTGACCCCACCCCCCCACCCCACTGGTGAGATGGGGCGGAGCCTCGCAAGCAACGAATGCGAATGAGGGTTGTGGGAGGGAGGGGGCAGTCGCGCATGCGCACAGCGCGCAGCCGCGGGGGATTTGACGCGCGTCGGGTTTGTCCGGATGTGGCGTGGGGCCTCCACCACCACCATCATCATCAGCGGCGTTACCATCAACATCATCATCATCAGAGGTACCATCAACATCATCATCAGCAGAGATACCATCAACATCATCATCAGCAGAGGTACCATCAACATCATCATCAGCAGAGGTACCATCAACATCATCCATCATCAGCGGCGTTACCATCAACATCAT